GATCGTCGGTGCCCACGGTGCAGAGCTGCCCCTGAGACGCTGCGCCACCGCATCTGGGAGTGTCCGTAAACTTGCTCCGACCCTGATTACACGTCTACGGACGCACTCATCCCGCAGGCGTTGGCGAATGCTGGCCTCGACCCTTCCTTGTGGTTGAGGGGCGTGCCTGCAGCCAGTCTCACTGTTCCTCGGTTTCAGGAGGGGGCTGGTTTTTCCGACCCTATTTTCCTCGGCCGGTGCTTGCTGAAGGAGCTCTCGGCCCCTGCGGGGCACCCCCCTCTACTTGTTTGGGGACGGCTCTGGGGGAGAGCACAGCTCAGACGATCGTCGGAGACGCTGCGGAGCAGCGGTGGTAGTCATGCGTCGGACTTCTTACGGGGATCCTTCTGGTGCTATGTGGCCCCCCGTCTGCGGCGCGGCTGCCTGTCTCTCAGGACGACGACAGACTGTGCCCCGATCAGAGCTCTTGGCACTGGCCGTGGGCCTCGAGAATTCGCATGGAGATATTGCTTACGTTTGTGATTGCAAGCCTGTTGTTGAGGGGCTGGAGGTCTGGCCACGCTTCGCGGCCTCATGGCCGAAATGTTGATCTCTGGGGTAGAATCCTGCAGGCGGCCAAAAATCGTGGACCAGGGTCCGTGGAGGTTGTCTGGACTGCTTCCCTCCCACCTGGAAGCTGAGCCCGGGCGTATCACCTCCCCTTTTCAAGCCTTCCTCTCTCGCGGCAATGCTTGCGCTGATGTCTCGGCGGGGTGGGCGGCGAGGAGGGGGTGGGAAACGTCGGTCAGACACCCGATCCCGTTCACGGATCGCTGGGATGTCACTGCCTTGCTTGTGCGGAGAAGAGCTCGGCGCGCATTGATCGATAGTGTTGCGGTTGCTCCTGAATTCGGCCCCTGGCCCAGGACCCAGTCTTCGTCCAAACTGGCTCGGGCCCTGAACTCTTCGTCGCACCGCCTGTCGCGGCGCAGCAATCGTTGGACGTATTCTGGATGCTCTCAGATCGTGCCTCGGACCAAGCTCTTGGAATTCGCGGCCACGGCTTGCCCAGCGGCTGCTGGGCCTGACCCTCCTTCCTCCTCCGCTGGCCCCTGTGACCGTTTCCTCGGCGACGGTTTCCTGGCGGTGTGCGGGGCGACCAAGGTTGGAGGTGTGGCATTGCATCCTTCTCGCGCCCTCAGGGGGTGGTCCCGTTTTGGCCTCAAGTTGTGTGCCGTTTGTGGGTTCACGGCTGCGGTTGACGGACCCAACCTGGCAAACCCTTGTGCTCCTCCCTCCCGCAAAGGGAGGGGGAATCTGAGCCGCCTCGCGAAGGGCCTGTATCCGTCGCACCGTGGACCCCCCTCGTCGCTGGTGGTCGCTAAGATCCAGGCCCAGGCTTCGAGAGCCCAGTCCTTTCCTCGGCTTCCTGCAGCCGAGGCTGTGCCTGTCCGCATGAATGAATATCTCAGGTTTGCTTCCGTCCCAGACGAGGACGGTGAATTTGCGTGGCAGCCTGAGTACGAGTGTGCCCCGCTCACGCCGCCTGCGGGTGGGGCTCCACCGTCAAGTGTCCCCTCGGCCCCATCCGTGGGCTGCGGAGGGAAGGTCGGTGGGCATGGGGCTTGCAAGGGAGCGAGGTCGGGGGCGTCGTCGTCGGTCGCGGCGGCGAGAGCGGTCGGCGGGGAGCGAGCGAGGGAGAGAGCCACCCCGCGCCGCCGCCCTGCCGCCGCCCCGCGTCGGCGGCCTGCGGCATCGTCTACGCCAGGCGCGCCGCCCCCGCCCCCCACTGCTCCCCTCCCACCGCCTGCTTAGCCCCGCACGTACGTGCACTCTCCATCCTCATCCTCGTCCTCCTCTTGGAGGAATTTTATGGGACTCTTTGGGATCTCTTCGGGCCTCCTGGGCACCTCTCGGGGCCGTCTGGGGGCACTGTTGGGAGGCTCGGGCCATCTTGGGGGCACCTTGGAGGAGATCGATCAGAGGATGGGGGCTCCTCAATGGAGGCCCCCCCCCCCCGGGAGGCCAGCACGTGGCCAAAATCCTTCCTGCAAAGGCAATGCGTTGAACCTTCTCGCCGGGGCCCCTTGGGGCGTCTTGGGTGCCTCTGCGGGGCCTCCTGGGGCCTCTTAGCGGTCTCTTGGGGGCCCTATTGGGAGCCTCTTGGGGGCCCTTTGGGGGCTTCTTGGGGGCCCTTTGGGGGCCGTCTTGGGGCTCCTGGGCACCTCTCGGGGCCGTTTTGGGGCACATATGGGAGCCTAGGGGGCCCTCTTGGGGACATCTTGGAGGAGATCGACCAAATGATGGATGCTCACGAGCGAAGGCCCCCCCTCCCCAGGAGGCCAAAATGCAACCGAAACCGTAGTAGCATCAATGAGTTTGGCTCCCTCGCTGAGGCCCAAGAAGACTTTCTGACACGTCGCGCCACTCCCCCCCTCGTTCCAAATCCAGGGTTAGGGGGTATGTAGGGGGGAAGGGTGGGGCCCCCCCCAAGACAGACAGCAGGCCGTCTCGCTCGCTCCCAGCCCGGCCTCCCAACACAGAAGTAAGTTCCCGAGTCAGCGCATCGCCGAGAAGCGCCACGCATGCCGCGTGCGCCACGGTCTCAGATGCGCCAGGCACCCTGGAGGGCCTACTCTGGGTTTCCTAGCAAGCGTGGGGGGTACCCCCCCGACGGGGGTTAACCTCGCCTTGTCGTCGCGCCGCGACGGGGGTCGGAGCGCCTTCGCCGCGCGGTGGCTGCCCGCGACGGGGGGTCGATGTGGGGTTGTCGGCGGGAGTGGGGCCCCCCCGACGCTTATGAAGAAACTCGGAGGTGCGTGCGAGGCGCGGCAAGTGCGGCACGTGCTCCAGCCGCGCCAGGGGGCGCCACGTGCTCGGCGCCCGCAGTGCGCGCGCCGGGTGGATTCTGTGTTGTCGTTTGACAGGAATGGTTGACCTGCGCGCATCAAGCAATACGCCGGCATCCCCGCCATCCCTTCCAGAAACCACTGCAGAGTTGTCGCGGGGCGCCCCCCGAGTGGTCGCGGGGCGCCCGCGCATGCTCCGGATTTGGAGGCGAAGTGCATTCTGTACTGTTTTGCTGACGGGGACGGTCGGCTCGCGCACGGCTTGTGCGCAGCCAGCAGCATGCAGAGTGGTCGCGGGGCGTCCCGCGTTCCGCGCGCCAGGGGCGGGGAGGCCAGCGCCGACCCAAAGACATCCGCGCGGAGCTCCGAGAGTGCATGCTTATGCTCATGCCGCCTGTTGTTTATGCTCCGGGAGTGCATGGCTATGCTCATGCAGGTTTGAGTCAGGCACGTCGCCCTACAGGCGGAATCTCCAGACATAGTGCAAGAATCGTTTGGGGACGATGTTTTAGGATTGTGGTTGACCATTGTTGATCATGGTTGGACTATGTTGAAACTTGATCAGTGTTGTTGACCATTGTTGATCATGGTTGGTCGTGTTGATCATTTTTGATCATGGCCGACCATAATTGAAACTTGATCATGGTTGATCATGGTTGACTTGATCACTGTTGTTGACCATTGTTGACCATGGTTGGTGATGTTGACCATGGTTGATCATGGTTGGACAATGTTGAAGCTTTCGTCCAACACCCGCCGGCAGGAGGACGTGCCCGACCCAACGCCAGATCCGCTGCGCTCCCCGACCCGACGCTGGCCGATCCCTGCCGTCCACCCCGCAGCCTCCCTTTGCAGATTCCGACTGTAGGGCCAAGAACTTTGGCGTGGCCTCTCGCTCCGCTGCTGGTTCTGGCCCACCACGCTTCGATGCGTCACGTCGCGCTATCCTCTTCCCGGCCTCCCAGCGTCAGCTTCCCAAGTCTTTCCGAGCCTCCCGGACCGCAGAGCGGAGCGCCGCGCGCTCCGCTTGCAGGGCACAGCGTGTCGCTGGGGCCGCCGAGGCGACACGCGAAGCAAGCGTTCCGACCCTGGGCTTGGCATCGTTCGGACGTGTACATGTTTCCTTCGGCCAGGACCATCGAGGAGTATCCTTGATCACTTGGCGAAAAAGCCACGCACGACACCGGAAACAGAAGCACAGGGAACGGACGTCCGAGCGATGGCCAGGATTCCTTCTGTTCAAGGGTCCGGCGATCGCCTGTGTCGCAGTCCACCCACATAGTTAAGGATGGGCAGTCCTGCGCAAGGGTGCCCTTGCATCTTGCCCCGTCGGCCATTCCCTGGCGGCTTTCGCTGGCCGGCGCCGACATTAACACGGCCCTCCAAGGCCCATGCATCCTCACTGCGCATCCTCACTAGACGGGCTGACCATAGCGGTTCTCCCTCCTCAGAGAGCCCGTCCTGGTCGGCTGCGCAGACCCTACGGGGGTGCGCCGTACTGGCGGTCGCGCGGGCATACGCGGGGCTGCGCAAAGCGACAGGGTTGTGCTATCGGCCGACACCGCCCTCCCCACCCATCCGGACACCTTGGGCAATCGCCGAAGCATCGAAACGATCATCCTGTCGATCCGATCTGGCCTCCTGATCCGACGCCTGCCGATCCCTGCCGCCTCCCCCGCACCCTTCGGGAGGGGAAGGAGCACACAGATTACCAGCCTGGAACATATCCCTATCCCTATGCTGGGCACCTCCTCATCACGATGCCAATCTTAGGGATTCCCTTATTTTTGAGGGCGCATCCCTAAGATTGTCATCGCCTTTTGGCGTGCCAATCTTAGGGATAGGGATACGTTCGAGGCTGGTAAACAGACGCAACGCGTCGTCGATTCCCGCGAAGATGGGCCGGGTGACGGGCACCCCGGAAGCATATGCGCACAGATCGGGGATACCTGGGAGGAGGAGGAGGAGGATGAGGAGGAGGAGGAGGAGGAGGAGGAGGAGGGGGAGGAGGGGGAGGAGGGGGAGGAGGAGGAGGAGGAGGAGGAGGAGGAGGAGGAGGAGGAGGAGGAGGAGGGCGACGAGGAGGACGACGAGGAGGACGACGAGGAGGACGACGAGGAGGACGACGAGGAGGACGCCCCTGCGCCTCGCCCCCGCTGCCCCCGCGCGGAGGCTCCGGGCCGCCGGCCACTCCGCGGTCCGCGAGAGGGCGCTCGACGGCGGACGCGGAGCGGCAGGGGCGGTCGGCGGGTGGCCTCCAGGCGGTGTGTCCACCACCACCCACCATGAGCTGGAGGGGTGAGGGAGGAGGACGAGGTGGGGGACGTAGATGAGGAGGAGGAGGCGGAGGCGGAGGAGGAGGAGGAGGCGGAGGAGGAGGAGGAGGAAGATGAGGGGGACGAAGATGAGGAGGAGGAGGAGGCGGAGGCGGAGGACGCCCTCCCCCTCCAACGCATGGTGGTGAAGCGGTGGTGGAAAGCAGGCCCATCAAAAGGCAAGTCAGGTTCGTGCCGTGCCGACTTCGGCGTTGGATTCTGACACCGCGAGGATCGTTCAGCCTCGAACGATCGGCCGTTTCCGAAACGTCCAGATCGTTCCGTATCGAACGATCCTGGGTCGAATTGAACGCCGTTTGCGGGGTCGCCGCCGGTCGACACGACACGAACCCGTACCCACTCCTCTACCTTTCGCCCGTGTTCCCCTTTTTCGGGCCTCTTGGGAAGCCCTCGTCGCCACCGCTGGATTCGCCTCGCAGTCCTGGTCAGAGCGCAACCCCAGGAGAAGTCCAGGGAGCAGCGGCACCAGTACCTATTTTGATTTCCCCAGAGGGCGGAACATCTCGCAGGCGACGTTTCTCCCCCAAGCCCCCCCACTCTTCGACGGCGAAGGAGGCCGCTCAGAAAGGGAGGGGGACCGTGGGATACACCCCGAGGAGGAGGAGGAGGAGGAGGAGGAGGAGGAGGAGGAGGAGGAGGAGGGGGCTCGTCGGCGCGCCGAGGCGTGGCCGCTGCACCTGCTCGGGCCCCAGCTGGGACTTGAAGCTCGCTGAGGGGCAGCGAACGCGATCTGTGTTTCTGGGGCGACGGGGGAGAGGGCAGTGCTTTTGCAGGGCAGGAGCAAAAGCAGGAGCAGCCCAATCGTCGGCGAGGGCAAACCTGAGATGACAGAGCTTCTCGCGGAGGGCGGCCGGAAGGATTGCTGTTGACCGGTCAAGCGCGCCCGCCGAGCGTACGGGCATTTGGCCCTGGAAACAATGCTGCCCCCCCAGCGACCTTCAAGCTGGGACGCCTCCCCGAACGGTGTGGCAACCGCACCGCATGGTGAGTCGGTGGGAAGGTCGTGCCGCCGCGCGGGTGTTGGGACGCGGGCCGGGTCGTTCGCCGAGGGCGTCTCGGGCGAGCCGGGCCTCCGAGCTCCTGGGGCCGTGTGGCGGCGGACCGTCGGGTGAGGTCCTTGGGGATTCGGAGGTCACCGCGCGGTCCGTTGCCGGCAGTGCGTTGGCACTGCTTTGGCATTGCGCTGAAATGGCGCTGGCGAGTTCCAGTGCCTCCCGTCGCAGAAGCTCTCCTATTGCAACCCCCAGGAGGATTCGTGTTGGAATCTAGCACCAAGGATTGCCCCCCTTGACATGGCATTGGCATTGGATTCGGGTCGCCTTGGCATTGGTTTGGCATTGCATTGGCACTGCTTTAGCACTGCGCTGGCGAGTCCCAATGCCTCCCTTCGCAGAAGGATTCCTATCGAATCCCTCCGCCAAAAGGGTTCCTCTTGAACTCTACCACAAAGGGTTGCCCCCAACGACATTGCATTGGCATCGGATTCGGGATCGCATTGGCACTGCGCTGGCATTGCCTTGGCATTGCTTTGGCATTGTGCTGGCATTGCGCTGGCGAGTTCCAGTGCCTCCCGTCGCAGAAGGTTCCTATTGCAACCCCCAGGAGGATTCGTATTGACATCTAGCACAAAGGATTGCCCCCATTGGCATAGCATTGGCATCATATTGGGGTCGCCTTGGCATTGCGTTGGCACTGCTTTGGCACTGCGCTGGCGAGTCCTAATGCCTCCCTTGGAAGAAGGTTACTATTGAAACCCTCCGCAAAAATAGTTCCTTTTGAAATCTACCACAAAGGGTTGCCCCCAGCGGCATTGCAGTGGCATCGGATTTGAGATCGCAATGGCATTGCGCTGGCATTGCTTTGGCATTGCGCTGGCGAGTTCCACTGCTTCCAGTCGCAGAAGGATTTCTATGGCAATCCCCAGGAGGATTCTGATTGAAATCTACCACAAAGGATTGCCCCCCAGCCCGCATCCGCCGACGGAATCACGAGCCCGCATCCGCCGACGGCATCACAGCATGGTCCTCGAAATTCCAACCCCATGCCGCTTGGCACAGGGATGGAAATTCGAAGACCATGCTCGGGGGGGGGCGATGATTGCTTGAAGGCTGTCGAAACCAGAAGGATCGAGAAAGAGAGACAGGGAGAGAGAGAGAGAGAGAGAGAGACGAAGAGAGTGGAGTAGATGACGAGAGAACGAACGAACGAAAGAAAATTGGAACATTAAAGGATAACGCAGCAAAGAAATTATCCTGGCGACGGACCCAACCATGTGCAGTTGTGGGTACCGCAATTGTGAATATTTTCTTCGGTGGAGCTCCCTATGACGCCACGAAGCGCTGCACTGGGTGGGGGGGAACGCATGCGGGCGGTAGAACTGGGGCCGTCGGGCGAACTCCCTATGGCGCCACGAAACGCCGTACTGGGTGGGGTGAAAATTCCAAATCTGGTGTGTGGGACGCATGCGGGCGGTCCCAGTGGTGGCTTCGGTGGAGCTCCCTATGGGGCCACGAAGCGTACGAGGGGTGTGCCACATGTGGTTTCCAGGACGCATGCGGACGGTCCCACTGGGGGCTTCAGTGGAGCTCTCCCTATGAGGCCACGAAGCGCTGGGCTGGGTGGGGGGGAACCCATGCGGGCGGTAGAACTTGGGCCGTCGGGCGAACTCCCTATGGGGCCACGAAACGCCGTACTGGGTGGGGAGAAAAAGCAAAACCTTGTGTGTGGGACGCATGCGGGCGGTCCCACTGGGGGCTCCGGTGGACCTCCCTATGGGGCCACGAAACGTATGAGGGGTGTGCCTAATTTGGTTTCCGGGACGCATGCGGACGGTCCCACTGGGGGTTTCGGCGGATCTCCCTATGGGGCCACGAAGCGTCGTACTGGGTGGGTGAAAATGCCAAATTGGGTTTCCGAGACGCATGCGGACGGTTCCACTGGTGGCTTCGGTGGAGCTCTCTACGGGGTCACGAAACGCCGTAGTGGGTGGTGTGAAAATACTAAAAATTATGTTTCAGGGACGCATGCGGACAGTCCCACTGGAGGCTTCGGTGGGGCTCTCTATGGGGCCACGAAACGCCGTTCTGGGTGGGGTGAAGATGCCAAATTAGATTTCCGGGACGCATGCGGACAGTCCCAGGGGCTTCGGTGGGGCTCTCTATGGGGCCACGAAGCGCTGTACAGGGGGGGGACGCATGCAGACGGTAGCACTGGGACCTTCGGTGGGGCTCCCTATGGGGCCACGAAACGCTGTACTGGGTGTGGGGGACGCATGCGGACGGTAGCACTGGGACCTTCGGTGGGGCTCCTTATGGGGCCACGCAACGCTGCACTGCGCGTGGGGACGCATGCGGACGGTAGCACTGGGACCTTCGGTGGGGCTCCCTGCGGGGCCATGGAACGCTGTACTGGGCGTGGGGGACGCATGCGGACGGTAGCATTGGGACCTTCGGTGGGGCTCCCTATGGGGCCAAGAAGCGCTGTACTGGGCGGGGGGGACGCATGCTGACGGTAGCACTGGGACCTTCGGTGGGGCTCCTTGTGGGGCCACGACAACGTTGTACTGGGTGGGGGGGACGCATGCGCACGGTAGCACTGGGACCTTCGGTGGGGCTCCCTATGGGGCCACGAAGCGCTGTACTGGGTGTGGGGGACGCATGCGGACGGTAGCACTGGGACATTCGGTGCGGCTCCCGATGGGGCCACGAAGCGCGGTACTGGGTGGGGAGGACGCATGCAGACGGTAGCACTGGGACCTTCGGTGGGGTTCCTTGTGGGGCCACGAAACGCTGTACTGGGTGGGGGACGCATGCGGACGGTAGCACTGGGACCTGTGGGGGCTCCCTATGGGGCCACGAAGCGCTGTACTGGGGGGGGGGGACGCATGCAGACGGTAGCATTGGGACCTTCGGTGCGGCTCCCTATGGGGTCACGAAGCGCTGTTTTGGGTGGGGGGGGACGCATGCGGACGGTAGCACTGGGACATTTGGTGGGGCCCCCTCTGGGGCCACGAAGCGCTGTACTGGGCGGGGGGGCGCATGCGGACGGTAGCAGTCAGACCTTCGGTGGGGCTCCCTATGGGGCCACGAAGCGCTGTACTGGGCGGGGGGACGCATGCGGACGGTAGCACTGGGACCTTCGGTGGGGTTCCTTCTGGGGCCACGCAACCCTGTACTGGGTGGGGGGGACGCATGCGGACGGTAGCACTGGGACATTCGGTGCGGCTCCTTATGGGGCCACGACACGCTGTACTGGGTGGGGGGGGGGGAACGCATGCGGACGGTAGCATTGGGACCTTCGGAGGGACTCCCTATGGGGCCACGAAACGCTGTATTGGGTGGGGGGAAAGCATGCGGACGGTAGGGAGGAGGGGGAGGAGGAGAGGAGGAGAGGAACGCGGGGAGCGTCTCTTCAAAATGAGGACCCAACACCACAGGATGGTTGGGAAAAACAGCAACAAATCAATCACTCACGCTACCGATGAACCCCACATACCTATTTGATTTCCCATGTGTGTACCATCGGTGCTTCTGCTGCTGCTCCTCCTTCTCCTCGGTGTCCTCCTGCTGCTGCTGCTTCTGCTGCTGCTGCTGCTGCTGCTGCTGCTGCTGTTGCGTCTGCTGCTGCAGCTGCTGCTGCTGCCGCCGCTGCTGCTGCCCCACCTCCCCGTCCTCCTCCTCCTCCTTCTCCTCCTCCTCCTCCTCCTCCTCCTCCTCCTCCTCCTCCTCCTCCTCCTCTCCTCCTCCTCCTCCTCCTCCTCCTCCTCCTCCTCCTCCTCCTCCTCCCTCCTCTACCTCCTCCTCCTACCTCCCAGCGCCCCCCCCTGTGGCGTCGAGGACATGCCACGCCTGCCACGCCCAGGGAGCCTGCAGCGCATAGGGCCCCACCCCCAGCGCCCCCCCTGTGGCGTCGAGGACATGCCACGCCTGCCACGCCCAGGGAGCCTGCAGCGCATAGGGCCCCACCCCCAGCGCACCCCTTGTGGCGTCGAGGAAATGCCACGCCTGCCACGCCCAGGGAGCCTGCAGCGCATACGGCCCCCACCCCCAGCGCACCCCCTGTGGCGTCGAGGAAATGCCACGCCTGAGGGTGGGGGCCCTATGCGTTGCACGCAGCGCATAGGCCCCCACCCCCAGCGCACCCCCTTTGGCGTCGAAGGAATGCCCTGTGTGCTATGCTGTGCTGTGCTGTGCTGTGCTGCTGTGCGGTGAGCTGTGCTGTGCTGTGCCGTGCTGTGCCGTGCTGTGCCCGTGGGAGGGGGAGGTGTGAGACGCGGGTGCGGCGCGGCAGGGAAAAAAACATAACCCTTCGAAACATGTGGGGAAAAAGAAAGGTGGAGGAGCGTTGCGCTCGATAATAAACTATATCAGCATGACAAGGTCCGCCAGAATCCCCTGGCCTCTCGTCCTCCTCCTCCTCCTCCTCCTTCCTCCTCCTCCTCCTCCTCCTCCTCCTCCTCCTCCTCCTCCTCTTCCTCTCCCCCCCCGCATAAGCCAGGGGCCAGGTGAGCACACGGGGATGGTCGGGGAACCCAAAGTGATCGACTGCCGCTTGTATCGGCGGGATAGAAACAGAGTCGGGGACTAGCCGTAGAAGGCGGAGGGCGGCGGGGGGGGGGGACCGTCCCCCCGTAGGCTGCGGGGGTCCTCCCCCTTTGGGGTGGATGGAGTGTAGGGTGGGAAAAAGTCGGGATGCCCTCCGCTGCCAGGGTTCCCCCCCCTGGCTCGGGGCCCTTGGCCTCTTCCTACCTGGCGCTCCTCCCCCCCCTGGGGCACCCCTGTCGGCCGCAGGGGCGCGCGCGCGCGGAGGCGGCACGGCCCCTCCGCCGCGCTGCGCAGGGGCAGGTGGGGTACTGCGTCGTGCAGCGACGCGGCAGACCTCTGCTGGTTGCTTGGCGGCGAGGCCCTACGGGTCGCCTCCACCCGACCTGGGAGGCCCCCCGTCGGCGAGGCAGCACCGGCGCGCGGCGTCGGGCGCTGCGCGGGCTTTCCGCGCTCCCGTAGTCCAGCAGGTCCCCCCTGCACGGCAGAGGCAGGACTGAAGTTGTGGCAATTCCTTGGTAAATTATCCTCCTCCTTCTCCTCCTCCTCCTCCTCCTCCCCTCCTCCTCCTCCTCCTCCTCCTCCTCCTCCTCCTCCTCCTCCTCCTCCTCCTCCTTCTCTCCTCGTTCGTGGCGTCAGGCACGCATCAGCAACGGAGCTGTCGTGTCTCAGCGATAGCGAAGCTGTTCCGACCCGGGCGCGAGATGTCAGGCACCAGGGCCTCGCCGCGCCGCGGCAGGGACAAGAAGAAACGGCCGCGCGCGGGGGCACGAGAGCACTCGGCGCCTCACGCGCCGCGGCCTGGGGCCCGAGCGGCTGCCCCTCTTTCTCGCGGGGGCGCGGTGCGCGATGTCGGCGAGGTCGGGCGCCGCATCCCCGAGCGGGTGTAGTTGTCGAAATGTGGCTCTCGGAATGCTGCGCGCGTTCGTCTTGGGAGGGTTCCAGCGCATTGGGGCGTCGTTGAGCGGCCTGGACGCTGAGGCGCGTTCTCCGAAGTCGTGGAAGGGTGGGTGGTGGTCTGCCTGGTGCACGGGGCGGCGAGCTGCTCCAGCTGCGTGAGGCTTCGCACCCTCCTGCTTGTGGCTTTTGGAATCTCCCCGCGAGGTCGGGCTGGCGACGGCGAGGAGCAGAGGGCCCCGGGTTCAAGAGACGGGGGTCGATGCAAGCGGGGGTCAGCCAGAGCGCCAGATCTTGCAGCATCCTGCAGGGCCAGGGTCGCACTGACCCGGGCTCGGGTGCAGGATCTTGCAGGACCCTGCAGGATCCTGCACGGCCCGACGGACCCGAGGAGGAGGAGGAGGAGGAGGAGGAGGAGGAGGACGAGGTGGAGGAGGAGGGGAGAAGGAGGAGGAGGAGGAGGAGGAGGGAGGAGGGAGGAGGAGGGAGGAGAAGGAGAGAGGAGGAGAGGAGGGAGGAGAGGAGGAGGAGGAGGAGGAAGAGGAGGAGGAGGAGGAGGAGGAGGAGGGAGGAGGAGGGAGGGAGTCTGGCTCGGTCCGGGCCCGAGAAGCTCCACGGAAGCGAGGCCGCCTTCCGCCGCCGGGGGGAGGCCCGGAGCATCCTGCGCACGCCGCGGCTGAACACCACCAGCTCCGTCGGGGTGCCCCCTTTGCGCGCGCCCGCGGGCCCCGCTGGCCTCTCTCGGCGGCCTTCTGCGGTTCTCGGCTTTATGCTCGGATCGGCGCCTGACTCTAGGCCTCCCAGATGGGGTCCGAGTAGATGGGGTCGAAGGATCGCTCCGCATCGCCGATGCATCGCCGATGCGGCTCGATGTGGAGCCCGATGTGCCAGCAACGTCGACGTTGCCGAAACATCGCCGACGCCGACGATGCATCGCCGATGCATCGCCAGTACATCGCCGATGCATCGCCGATGTATCGGCGATGCGGCGCGATCCTTCGACCCCATCTACTCGGACCCCATCTAGGAGGCCTCCATTGACAGCTTCGAGGGTTCTCGTCTCGGTTCGGTGTTTGATCTTCGACCGTTTCTTTCTGTGTGCGGTGCTCGCCGCGAGGTCCGACGAGGCTCGATGGTTCGATGGCGTGCCAGTCGGAGATCGCCCTCTGTGTTCAAGAGGTTTTCTTGGATCGTCGCCGTCGCTACCGATGTTCTGCAGTTCTCGGTTCGATGCTCGGCCCACCGCCACATTGGTCCTCGAGGGGCCGGCCCGAGGCCCTGGGCCCTCGCAGAAGGGTTCGGGACGAAGGAAGTGCTGGCTCAGGGGAGGGGGGATCGAGGCCAGGGGGGCCACGCCTCTAGGCTTGAGTCGGGCGTGTCCCTCTACAGGAGGAATCTCAAAACAAAAATCAACACGAACAACGTGGGGACGATTGTTTTAGCAGTTCTTCTTGCTTGTTACAGATATCTGTTGACTATTTTCAGTTGTTCCTCCAAGCTCCACCTGTAGGAGGACATGCCCGACCTAACCCTGGGCCTCCTGGATGGGGTCGGAGTAGATGGGGGCGGAGGATCGCGCCGCATCGCGGGTACATCGGCGCTGCGGCTCGATGCGGAGCCCGAGTTTCTTTACGCCGACGTCGCCAGTGCATCGCCGACGTTGCCGGCGCATCGCCGATGCATCCTCGATGCATCGCTGATGCATCGGCGATGTGGCGCGATCCTCCGACCCTATCTACTCCGACCCCATCTAGGAGGCCTCTAACGTCTGGAACAAACATCGTTGGGTTTCGTATGCGTGAGAGTCATGTCGAACATCGGCGGCGAGCGAGGGGGGAGGTAAGAGGGAGAAGGCCTTCTCAGAAGGCGGTTGGACTTTTCAGAAGGCCTCCAGCCTTTGATAAGTTGTGTTTTCGGGGAAGACTCATAATATGTTTCAGAAGGCCAGGGGATTTCCGAGCCTTCTGAGAAGGCCCGCCCCTTTTCGCTTCCCCGGTCTAGCCGCCGAGTTAGGTGGGTCGCTAATAAAATTGTGAAATCGCGCTAGTAGACTATAATGGGCGCCAATAGGTGTTCACTTATATGCGTGAGTAGGGACATCGACAGACACTAACAGACGCCGATAGGCTGGAACATGTCTTGAAATTACTTGCGCATCATACATGCAACCATGTCTCCAACAAACATCGCCCCACCAGATCTTTGGACAGCCTGTTGCTCTCTTACGTGCTGCGTCGCTCCCGCCTGCGCCGAAGCACAGCACAGCGGCACGAGTACACGGATTGCCGGCCCTCCGCGTCGACATCTCTTGGCATCGCTCGGACGTGTGCATTTTTCCTTCGGCGAGGACCATCGAGGAGCATCCTTGACCATGTGGCGAAAAGACCACGCACGAGACCGAACAAAAATGCACAGGGAATGGACGTCCGAGCGATGGCCAGATTTGGGCTCGGCGCCGGACCCGCTCCGCAGGCGCCTCCGGCGCTTCTCTCCCGGCGCGCCTCGCGGGCCAGGGGGCCTCCAGCGACAGCCCAAGGAATCCGCACGGACCTGCGAGGCTGTGCTGCAGTACACGTCTGGCTGAGCTGCAGCCGATCTCGCCCAGACGGATGGGCAACCTTTCCAAGGGTACCCCCGCATCTTTGCCTCGTCGGTCCATCCTTAACCACTCTGGATGGCCGGCCCCGCTCGGAAAGATTCGGCATGGGCGTCCGAGGGGCTTGCTTCCTTATCGCGGATCCTTACTCTCAAAGTTGGCTGTACCTACAATTCCCTGGGCTACGCTTTTCTCCTCGCCCGCTCTTGCTTGCTCGGTTGCTCGGCGGCTCGAGCACAACAATCGGCGTTGGCAGCATCTCGAGACAACCAACGCGGCGCCCAGGCGGAGACACGACACGCCCTCCCTATCTTTCTTACTTCCTCCTTCCCTTCCCGCTGCTCGCTCTTCGTCTGTCCTCCTCCTGTCCTCCTCTCTCTCTCTCATCATCCCACCTCCATCTCTACTCCCCCCCTTCCTTCGCCCTCTCCCTCCTTCGGTCTTCACTTTCCCTGTTGGAGTGCGGCAGGAGGGCGGGAGGAGGAGGAGGACGGGGTAAGGAGGAGGAGGAGGAAGAGGAGGAGGAGGAGGAGGAGGAAGAGGAGGAGACCGGGGTGGGAAGAGGGTACCTTCGTGGAGCTGGAGGGAGGGCAGGGAGGACGGGGGGGAGGAAGGAACAGCAGGAGGAGGGGGAGGAGCAGCGTCGTCCTCGCGCTTCCCCCCCCCCCCCCCCCCGCTGCCTCGAGACCTAGACCTCCGTCTCCATGTTTTTCTCAACGTCGACCACCCCGCGTAGGGCTGGACCCTTTCTCTCGGGCCAGCTTCTCATCCCGAGTCGTTGCCTGGCAGCCCTGGGGCTCCGAAGTTGCGACACAGAACGGCATCGTGACACATCACGACCCGAGCACTGGACCTTGGCATCGCTCGGACGTGCATTTTTCCTTCGGCGAGGACCATCGAGGAGCATCCTGTGATCATGTGGCGAAGAGGCCACGCACGACCGAAGAAAACACGGGGAACGGACGTCCGAGCGATGGCGAGTGGGCCAGCTTCTCATCCCGAGTCGTTGTTCAAGGGCTCCCTCGAGGGCGCGAAGTTATTCGCGCTTCGCGGTCCTCGTTCCTTCTCCCCCTCCTCCTCGTCCTCCTATTCTCCCTTTGGGAGGGCGGCGCGAGAGCGCGAAGTTATTCGCGCTTCGCGGAGCGCGAAGCGCGAAGCGCGAAGCTGGGAGCCCTTGTTGTTTGACAGCCCTGGGGCCCCCGAGATCCGACGTTGCGACACAGAACGGCATCGTGACAGATCACGGCCCGAGCACTGGGCCCCATCTTTCTGCTTCACTTGTTCGAGTCGGATCGATACGTTCAGGAGGGAAAAAAAACACAGACACAATCACTCGTCGATTCCCCCGAATATATATATATATATATATATATATATATATATAGATATACATATATATATATATAAATGGGAAGTGGGGGGGGAAGACAGAAACCCAGAAACTATGGGACAGTATGGGGAATCTGTTTATTTGTGTGTATTTATTTGTGTGTCCCAGGGCCCCTTCATATGTGACGGTCGCGGAGCCCGGAATTGTGCGACATCGTTGCAACGCCTCGGTCTCAGGGAAGGCCCCCAGGGGCCGGAAACGAGCAACAGATGCCCGTCGTGACTATTTATCCATGACCCGAGGGGCTCTGGCTTCGATCTCCGACTCGAGCTCTCATCTCTTCGGCTCCAGCTACAAAGGTCACCTCTTCGACCCCGGGCTTCCTTCTTGTCGCGGACTCCGATTCCTGCGAGCTCGTTGGCACGTCCACACGCGACACCGACCTTCACCCACGAGCGACCGCGTTGTCGGCGGCGAGCGAGGGGGGAAATGAGAAAGAGAAGGCCTCCTCAGAAGGCGGCGGGACGTCTCTTCCGTGTCCTCGGGGGAGGCTTGGGACATTTCTCAGAAGGCTGGGGGGTTCCCGGGCCTTCTGAGAAGGCCCGCCCCTTCTCTTTTCCCCCCCTTGATCGCCGCCGATACAGTCGGGGCCCTGAAGAAGGAACCCTTTTCGTTGGGGAGGGGCTCCGCGTTCCTTAAGTGTTTCACAGCTTGCCTCAGGTTTTCCTTATGTTTTCGATCAGAAATCGAAGCTTAACTCATGCAAAAAAGGGGCCTCGTTCCTTATTCAGGGTTCCTTAAGGTCAACGCCCCGACTGTATTGGCCCCCACGCTGCACCCGCGCAGGTGCTCCATGCGGGCCTGTCTCCGTCTTTGTCTCCCGAGTGTGCCTGCCGAGCCCGCGCCCGCGCCTGAGAGACCTGCGGGCTTTCGGAAAAAAAAACTAATTCCAGAGGAGGCCCATGCCAAGAAACACCCTCCTTGCCTCTAGGGTGCCCTGGGCTTCTTTTGGGTTCCGATGGTTCTGCGATGGACTGCGTGACGTTCCCAGGCCGAAAATCAATGGGCGCCCTGGGGTTTCGGGGTTGGGTTTCTTGTGCAGGGTTTCTTGTGGACTAGCCTCCACTGTAGCCAGAGAGAACTGCGTGTTTCTAGAAGGCGCGTTCGCCTTAACAGAGACGCTTACGAAACCGCACCATTCTACCAGTTCTTGGACGCCGCGTTTTATGTGTGATCTGCGCAGTATAGTAGTTTGAAGAATGAACTGCTGTCATCCCCAGCTGCTCACCTGCGTTGCTGTTTGCCAGCCGTCGCCAGCCGGCGCCAACAGACACCAATAGTTGCCAACGGGCGAGAGTTGGGCGCCGGTAGGGAGACATACCGATAGACACCAGCCAGCGCTGACGGGGCGGAGCCCGACGTCCCGTCCATCTCGCACACGCGTATACAGTGCCGTTTTTTATACATACTCCGCGTGCGGATCACGTATTAAACATGCAGGGATCTAGTATTGAAAACAACGATGAGTTCGTGCATACATTCAGTCATACATTAATCATGTATAAGAAAACCAGTAAGAAAGCAAAAAACACCAATGTAGTAAACAATTGCCCTGTACGCCACGAGCCCGCTCTTCGAGAGCACGCGGCTTCTCCGGCACGCCCCCCGCGCCGGCGCCCGGCCGCGGGCCCGCAGGCCGCGAGCGAGGCGAGGGCGCTGAGCGCGTTCAGCGGCGGCGCCAGCAGGCCGCCGCAGGGGGGCTCGCCCGGCGCCGCTGGGCCGGCAGGGAGTCGGGCCCCGCGCGTCGGGGCCCAAGATTTGGACACCCGAGATGGGCACGGAAAGAATGGGCACTATGCCCAACAACAAATGTTGTCCCAAGCCAACAGCGGCCGCTGTTGGGCAGGCGGCCTTCTGTCTCGAATGGACAGGCCGCGGCGGCGTGGACAGCGAATCCTGTTGAAAATGAACAGGAATGTTGTTGTTGGGCATTGTACCCATTCTTTCAGTACCCATTTCGGGCGTCCAAACAAGAGACGGGGGTCAGTGCAAACGGGGGTCCGCCAGGGCACCGGATCCTGCAGGATCCTGCGAAGACCCCCTGTGGCTGACCCGGGTCAGCGAGCCGCTCGTGGCCGCGAGGCGGCCGCGCATAGTGGCTGACCCGGGTTTGCGAAGACCTGCGTTGCAGTTTTTTCGTCATGCATTGCAGTTTTTTGGTTTCCTGCTGACCTGGGTCTGGATTGACCCGGGTCAGAAGATCCCCGAGCGCGGTGGGGGGGCGATGAGTCTGGGGGCAGCGAGGGCTGCCGAAGGGGAGCCCTCGAGGGCCCCAGAAGGGGCCCTCGAGGGCCTCAAGGTGAAGTCGGGCGTGCCCTCCATGCAGGGGGATCTTCGACGAAAAATGCAAAATACCCCCAGAATGATCGAAAAACAATCCAAACATAATCTGGGGACTATTTTTTAGTATTTGTTGACCTGTTTGGGGCATTTCCGGGGTATTTTTTTTCGTCGAACATCCTCCTGTAGGGGGACAGGCCCGACTTAACCTCAAGGGGGCCTTCAGGGCCCGAGAAGGGCACCGTCCTTCCCCCCCCCCTGTATCGCCCCCCCGCTGGATCGCGCCCAAGGAAGGGGCCGGAGCTCCTGTCGGAGAAGACGGTGAGGGTGCAGGGTTTCTCCGACGGGCTTAAACGACCCGTCCTCCTCCTCCTCTCTCCTCCTCCTCCTCCTCCTCCTCCTCCTCCTCCTCCACCTCCACCTCCACTTCCTCCACCTCCTCCACCTCCTGACTCTCCTCCCCCTCCTCCGAACCCTACCCTCGCCGATCAAAGATTCAGACCCCTCGATGGGCGGCGGGGGCAGGTTTCGGAATTCGCCGTACGCGCAGCGAAACCCGAACCCTACAGTCGAAGCCGATGGTAAGGATGGGTAGCCTTCCCAGGGTTACCCTTGCATCATTGCTCTTCGGTCCATTCTTAACACTTTTCGATGGCCGGCCCCTCTCGAGAAGCTTCAGTGTGGGCGTCGACGGCCCTTGCATCCTTATGGCGCATCCGTAGCATCAATTTTGACTGTACCCCACGCGGCGAAATCCGAACCCTACCCCCGCCTCTCAGTACCCACCATATCACCGCAACCCAACCCGAAGGCTCCAAGTTGCCCTCCATTCCCAGCGGGGGAGGCACCCTGGAACATCGACAAAAGCACGGACAGAACCCGCCCCCCCCCCCCCCCCCAGCCCGAAGTTTGGGACTTCGGGTTGGGTTGGGTTGGTATGGTAGGTAGTCAGCTTCCCATCAGAGTGCCTACTCGCAGAAATCCGAAACACACATGCTTGTTTCGATGTAGTGTATGTGTTCGTTTTTGTTATTCCTTGTTTTGCCGATCTAGATGTTGGCTGTTTTTTGGCGCCTGTTTCGAGCGGGTGGAGTCTCCCCTCATAGGACGCACTGTCGCAAACAGTCGCACTAAGCAGAGGTCTGGAGCCAGGACCCCCCCTCTCTCCCCCTTCCGCTCAGTGTCGAAACGCCGAATGAGAAAAAAAAACGCTCACTGTCGTGAATCCCCTGCGGCGGATCCAGGCCAGCTGCGAGCAGTTGCTTTGCGAGTCGTGGAACTCGCTTTTCTAGGGGAGGGGGGGGGGCGGAGCGCCCCCCCCCCCCCCCGGTCGCCCGCGGGGCCGCGATGGGGCCGATCCAGGGGCCCCCACACGGTGCGGTGACCGCACCGTGCCGGTGAGTCCGGCGGGGCTCCGGGGTCGCCGCGCGGTCTTCGGGGCCCGGGTCGCTCTCCCCGAGGGGCGCCTCGGCCCTCCGAGGAGGCGCGGGGTTCGCTCGCCGAGAGGCCCTCTCCGGGGGGGCTCTCGGGCCTCCGAGGCCCCAAGGCCCGTGCGGCGGCGGCGGCCCGTGCGGCGAGGTCTCCGGGGGGGGGGCCGAGTCGGCACCGCGCGGTGCGTGGCACCGCCGCGCCATCCCGAGCGGGCGGGCCCCGGGCGTCTCGCGGGCCCCTGGCCGCGGAGGTGCCCCTCCCCGGGGGCGGCGGCGGCGCGAGGGCGCGGGCGCCGCCGCGGCCTCGCGGCCTCGCGGGGCGCGGGGGTGGTCTCCTCGCAGGCTCGGCAGTTGGCCTCGCTCGGTCGTGCGCGGTTTGCAGCTGGAGGTGCCCTGTCTCGGGGCTCGTGCCCTTGGCCTGGCCCGGTGAGCGCAGTAGGGGGGCCCCTCCCGACGGGGGCCCGTCTCGCCACGAGGGCACGCCGCGCCCGGGGGGGGGGGGACGGCGCGGCGGCGTGGGCGCGCGCTGCTGACGCTGTCAGCGGGGGCGGCGACCACCACCCCGCGCTCTCGGTAAGCTGGGCATCGCCCGGTCGTGCGCATGCTTCCTTCGGCGAGGACCATCGAGGAGCATCCTTGATCACTTGGCGAAAGAACCACGTACGAAACCGAAACAAGCACAGGGCATGGACGTCCGAGCGATGGCCAGCAGGTCGGACCGTGGTAATGGGGGGTGGCCTACATGGGGGTGAAGAAAGTACCCCTTTACAGTCATCGGTCTGACCCAAGGAACGACACATGAGGAACGGAGCCCCTTTCTTTCTCCAAGTGAGTATCCGAAGTACGACGAAGCGGCCGAGCCCCTTTCTAGCGGCGTTCCGCCACGACTTGCTTTTGCGATTCGACCCCCGCCCTTTCTGCCAAACTACCAAGGAACACCAGGGGGGCTGCCATAAAGGTAGCGGAACGCATGCAAACTTTTGGAACGACCGAGCCCTTTTGAAAAAGTAAGTGTTCCTTTTTCAAGCCGCTCACTGTAGTCGAAGAAGAAAAAACGGCATAAGCATAAACGTCTGGCGCTCCGCACGGATCTCTTGGATCCGCGCTGGACCCCCTCGGTTGGGCCGACTGGCGCGCTTCGCGCGCCAGGGAGGGGGATCCAGCGCAAATGCAAGAAATCCGCGCGGAGCGCCTAACATTTATCTTTCTGCCGCGTTCTCTTCTATGTGATCTTTTTATTTGCTGTTTTTTTCCGATCCGGAGAGGCCACGTCCACTCGGAGTAGGTAAGTCCATGAGGAGTGCTCGGTCCCCGTCTGGGTTTACTCCGTCTGGGCTCAGCTTGTCCTGAGGGATTTCCCCATGTCTATGGGCCTCCCAATTCAGATCCAGGTAGATGGGATCCGAGGATCGCGCCGCATCGGAGACTCGATGGTGAGCCTGATTTTCTCCCCGCCCACGGCGCCGACGCGTCGCCGACGTTGCCAGTGAATCGCCGATGCATCAGCGATGCATTGACGATGAGGAGTGATCTTCCGACCCCATCTGAGAGGCCTCTACCATAGCCACCTCCTTCCCCGCCTGGGGGGCCTATTTTCGGGAACCTCGGCAGTTGTTAAGTATGGTTGTCTTCCAGATGCGTCGCGTAAGTCCACCAGCCCATCCAGAAACGATGCCAGGCGAGTTGCTCTGATCAAGGATGCGGATGAGCATGCAGCTAAATAACGGGCTGGGCGCCGTCATACCCCAGGGGGGCCGAGGATGGAGGAGGAATCGGAGGTGGGGAGGGGGGGAGGAGAAGTAGGTGCATGAGGAAGATGATGAGGAGGGCGAGCGAAAAGGCCATATGCCTCTTGGATGCTTCCAGGAGTCTCTTCGCATGTCTCTTGAGAGTTGTGTGGGGTCCTCTTGGGGCGTCCCGGGGACCTCTTGGCGCTCCTGGGGGCTTCTGGGAGCGTCCTGGGTGCCTCGAGGGAGCCTCTTGGGGGCATTCCTGGGGCCCTGTTGGGGGCCTTGCAGGCCATCTTGGGGCCATCTTTGAGGAATCCGATCAAGGAGGGGGGGTCCCATACTCAGGCCCCCTCTAGAGCCTCTCCAGAGCCCTTGACCTCTGTTGGAGAGAAGAAGCGAAAAGGGGGGCGGTTGAGTAGAGGCAGAGAGAGAGAGAGACAGACAGACAGATAAGAGAGGTAGAAAGAGAGAGAGAGGGGAGAGACAGAGAGAGCGAGAGAGAAACAACAAATAGAAAGAGGGAGGACGCAGGAGAGGGGAGGCAGAAGGGAGGAGTGAGAGGAGGGAGAGAGGATAGGCAGAGAGAGGCAGAAGGATGAGGGAGGAGAGGAGGGGAAGAGAAGGGAGGAAAGGAGGGAGGAGGGAGGAGAGAGATAGAGGAGGAGCATGAAGGCAAGAGCGTGAACGTTCGAGGAAGTCCTAGGCGAAAGCGCCGTTCCTGAAGGAAGTCTCGGGCGGGAGCCCACGACGGGCGGGCGATCCCCTGACGGGCGGGTCGGGCGGGTGGGACATTCAAGCGGGATGCCTGAGTATGGCGAGAGCGCGATTCCTAAGTACATTGTGACGGCGTCCTTGGCGCTGCGTGTTTCCTGAGCGTCGAAGCGCGACTTCTGAATCAGTTGTAAGGAAGTCACAGACGAGTGCGCAATTCCTGAATAAAATGTGAAGAGGTCTCTGGCGGGAGCGGGGGTCTCGATCACATTGCGAAGAAGTCTTTGGTCAATTGCGAGGAAGTCTCAAGCGGGAGCGCCGTTCCTGAGTAGGTCTCAGATGGGAGCGGGGGTGCTGATTTAATTGCAAGGAAGTCATAGTCGGGAGCACCGATCCTGAGTAAATTGTGAGGAAGTCTCAGGCGGGAGCAGGAGTCCTGAGTCAATTTGGAGGAAGTCTGAAGCGGGAGCTGTCGTTGATGTAATCCGGGGGGCCAGGGGCACAGTTTGAGCAGGAAGAGTTTCCCTGTCAAAATACAGGGTGCGAGCGTCGAGGGGCACACTTTGATTGAGAACAAGCAGTATGCACCAGCGAGGGGGGATCAGCAATATTTGCAGAAATGAGAGTTCCTCAACAACAGCAGCAACAGCAGCAACAACAACAACAATAACCACAACCACAACAACAACACCAACAACAACAATAACCACAACCACAACAACACCAACAACAACAACACCAACAACAACAGCAACATCAACAGCAACCACAACGACAACGACAACAACCAGGCTAACAAAAACAACCACACCAACAGCAGCAAGCAAGCACCACGGAACCAAAGAAACGAGCAAGCAAGCAAACAAGCAAACGAGTGTTCCTTCCCGTGGCGTGCGGTAGACGTACGCCGGGCGAGGGCAGGAGAGGAATCATCTCGTGGTGCTGGCGGCGCGACCACACGAGGACGCGGCGGGTGCCCCCCAGGGGCGGGCAGGCGGACGCGAGGGGACGAGGGACAGGGGCCGGGCGGGGCCGGGCGAGCCCCTCGGGCGCCGTGCTCGGCCCACGAGCGGGTGGCTCTCGCGCGTGGTGCTCCCGGTCGTGCTGCCCGCGGTCGTCGCTGGGGCACGCCGGCTCGAGGGCGGAAACGAGCACGTGCCGCAGGCCTGAGAATCAGCGTTTGCGAACCGGCCCTGGAGCTGTGCAGGCCAGTCCTGCCCTTGTGCGACGTGTGTTTGCTGGAGGGCTTCGCTCGTGGGGGTGCCTTGACCTGAGGGCGGCTCTCCTTGCTGTTCCCTTACCAGGAAGATGATCGTGCTGGGGGCCCTTGAGACCCCAACCAACGGATCGATTAGACTCTGGATCGACTCAAGTCGACTGACGTGCCATGCAGCATCGACGCATGGGTTGAGCGAGTGGCTCCAGCAAGGTCCCCCGAACGAGCATCCAATACCAGGGGATGACAAGGAGGAGGAGTAGGAGGAGGAGGAGGAGGAGGAGGCGGCGCACCGTCCTCGTTCTCCCCACGGCCCCAGGAGACGAAGGAACAAGGAGGAGGAGGGGGGAGGAAGAGGGCAGCGGGAAGGACAAATGAGGAAGGGGGAGAGGATTTCCAGGATTTCCGCAATCGCCTATAGCGATAAGGGCTTACGGGTCTCAGCTGTGGCTCAAGCTGTGGCTCAAGGCTCAAGGCTCAAGGCTCAGGCCACCGAAGGCCCCCGACCAGGAGCCCTGCCAAGGGTGGGGTGCCGTCCTAGTGTTTCTCTACACCACCCCCCGTGCCACGGGACCTCCCTTTCGTACACATCCTATCTCTCCTCAGCAGCATGCCGCCATGCCGGATGTGCTTGCAGCATGGGGTGGACGGCGTGGCGGTCCCTGGCTCGGACTTCTGCGCCGCGCACAGCGCCGCCAGGCCGGAGACGAGCGTCGGCTTCGACAGGGTTGGCCACACCGGCGACGCCGACGGGACGGGCCTCACCCAGGCCGCCGGCGAGCTGCATTTGGTTGGCGCCCCCGCGCCGCCTGGCCTTGCTCCGCCAGCAGCCGATGGAGCGCCGGGCGTGGCGCCAGCGGCCGCAGGCGCCCCGGCGGTTGCAGGTCCACCGCAGCAGCCCCTGCCCGCAGCTGCCCTTGCAGATCGGCACCTCACGCTCTCGGGCCAGCTGTTTCAGAACTGGCTCGAGCAGGAGGTCTTTGCACACTTCGACTTGGTGCAGGCTGCTTCGACCAGTGCGCCAGACACGGCTGGTGTTACCGTGGAGTACCCCACGTGTTGGTCAGCGTTGCACGGCGTCTTGACCAAGTTGGGCTATGCGTCGGACTCCTCTGACCCCTGGAAGGCGCTCGGCTTCGCGCTGTATGAGGGCCCAGCGCCCTCGGCGCAATCGCTCGCGGCTCGGGAGCGGACGGCGGTACAGCTTTGTGCACTCGGACAGAAGGATGGCTGGACGCCGCAGGACAAGGACAGGGCAGCGATGGCTGCACGGCACTTCCAGGCGGCTGCAGCCGCTTGCGCCGCGGAGCTGCCGGAGGTGATCAAGCAACGACGCCGCTTACGGGTTGGCACGCTCCCGCTCTGGAAGGAGCTGGGGCACGATGCGCTCGATTTACTCCGGCCTGCCAGCGGAGGCCCAGACGTATGGTTCTTGACGCAGTGGTCTTCTATTCTTACGCGGGCTCAGCCGAGCCCCTGGGACATGGAGGCCACGCGCAAGTTGGCCACGCTCCTGGAGAAAGGCGATGAGCAAGTCTGGGAGCTCCTGGGGAACCAGCACATTGTGGCCTGGTTTCCGGAGGATGGGAATGCCGCAACTCGTTGCCGAGCAGCGCTCCTCCGCCGCGTGCCCACGGGAGCTCAACCAGCCTCGCTGCGATTCGTGGTGCCGCTTCCGCTCTTCCCAGGCGCTCACGACGTCCCGGCCATCCTGGACAATTGGTGGTGCCCTTTGTTAGGCGAAAGATGGGCACCTCTAGTGCGCAAGGTGGAGTTCACCGACGTGCCACTGGAAATGGTTCTTCTTGGTCCGACGTCCCCGAGGCACGCCAAGATGGGCCTCGCGCTATTCACCATCGCTTTCGCGGGCCCCCGGGTCCCCCCAGCGATGCTCAGTTGCAGGCCGCCGTTGCTCCAGATCGAGGGCGTTGTTCCCATGACCTTCGACATGCGCACTGAGGACGTCGTGAGCTTCGCGACGCTAATGCGCCACCCGCTGATGCAAGGAGCTATCTGGCGCAACCCTCGGCGCAGCCTTGCGCACACGCTGGAAGTCCCCCGGGCCTGCATCGATGTGCTCTTCCCCCGGGAGTACGTGGAGTTGGACCAGGGCTTGCTCTTGCAGCAGCTGCGTCCGTGCCTTCCGTCATCCACCCATTTCGGCTCCCAGTCGCTGTACACCGCTTCCGACGCCATGATCCTCGAGATCAACAGCACGATGGGGCTGCCGCACGTTTGGCCGCTTTGCTCACAGCTACTGGTCCTCAGCCCGGGCCGCGCGTTGGTCCTTTCTGGGGCCAGTGGGGAGACGTGGATCACCGTGCTGGACCAGCTCCTCGCGCAGGACCCCGGGGCCGCAGCTACTTGCTTGCGGTGGAAGCCTTCGCGGGGCGGCCGCCCAGTGGCCACGCCCTCTGCGACGACAGCGGCTTTGGCCGCCACGCGCAAAAAGGCCAACAGGAAGCCGGCGGCGCTAGACCTCCTCACCGAGGTCATCGTTCGAGGGGAAGTTGGGCAGGAAGATGGCGAGGTCATGCGGCTGCTCATGTCCCACGTCGCGACGTCCACAGGCATCGCCCTGACGGAAAGGACAGCGACGAAGCCCTTGAAGCACGGCGAGTTTGAGCACGTGCCAGTTGAACAGCACGGCGGTACTGGCGGGCGTGTCAGGGTCCTCCTCAAGGACGCCCAGGAGGTGGAGAAGCCCAGAGCTGCGCTGCATGGACAGCACATTGCCGTCGGCCACACCAGGGTCGGGATCGAGGTCATCAACGAGCGCTTTGACCTGGACACGGGGGCGGGAAACGGGGTTCGGAGGCGGGCGTAGTGCCGACCCGCCTCCGCTCGGACAGGCACGCCGGCGGCTCAATGCCGCCAGTCGGAATTCAAGTTTTTGAGTGCACGGGCTTGTGCGGCTTCCTCGTGTTCGTCGTCATGCGGCTCCTCCCCGCCGAGGCGGGGCCGGGCCGTGCTGGCCGCGCTTCCTCGGGATCCGCACGGAGCCACCCTTTTTCGCCATCGCCAAGCACGAACTTATGTACCCCTCCTTCGTCGGCACCTGTGGTTGACAGTGGCGGACGCCTTCGACCTCCCATTCCCCCTTTTGTCTTCCCGGAGGGCGCGGTGCTGCCGAGCTGCGTCGAGTCTGCCGCACTCCGCGCTGATGTTCCTGTGGATTGCTACCGGCATGGTCGACTTCGCCGAGCCCTGGGCGCGTCCCTCCCAGCCCCCCTCCAGCGCGGCCGCATTTCGACCCCTGCGCCTCTTGCGACGTCCCCGGACCGCCGCCTTGGACAATATCGAGGGGACGTAGCGGTTGGCACCTGGAACGCCCAGGCCCTCTTCGCGGCATGCGACCACAGGAGGGGCCAGAAGATGCTCTACGTCCAGCAGCTCATGAGGAAGCTGGACGTCCTATTGGTGACGGAGGCCCACGGCACGGCTGGGGATCATGCTCTGTGCCGCACCCTGCCTGGGTGCACGAGTTGGCGGTCCCCTGGGCCCACTACTGGGCACGCAGGCGTCGGCGTAGTAGTTCGGAATGCTTTCCTGGAGCAGTCTGATGCGTCGCCGGTCTGGTCGGTCGTCTGGAAGGGCCGGGCGGCCAAGCTTTCCCTCCGGGGGAAAGCGGGGGCTTTCGGCGTGGCAGTCGCCTACTTCCACACAGGGGCCCAGATCGCAGAGATGGACCTCTACGACGTCCGGCCTCAGGAGCGGGACCGCTGCTCGAATTTCGCCGGCTTACGGGCATGCCTCCGGACGCGGCTCGCGAACTCCTTATCGCCTTCCAGGAACGCCGTGACCGTCCTTGGAGGGGACTTCAACTACGTTGCAGAGCAGGGCGGCCGACAGGCCTTAACCTCGCTGCGAGAGACGGGCGGGCGCGATCAGGGCGAGGAGCGGCACTTCCAATCGATCCTCGGGCTCCCGTTTCAATTGACGGAGATGGCTCAAGGAGCTTTCACTCATGCATCTGCCCGCGCCCGGTCACGCATTGACAGGATCTACCTGAACCAGCACGCGCAGCTCGACCGGCACACGACGTGCTGCGCACTCCCCTGGCGGGAAGACCTTTCTGCGCACCGTGCGGTACTTTTCTCCAGGCGGGCCCCACAACGGCTCCCCATGCACCTGCGGCCCATTCCGGACCGCGCGATTCGCCATGAGGACTTCGAGCGGCGAGTGCGCTTGGAGTTCGGCCAGCGCCTGCGCGACCACCCGGAGGATTGGGGCGTGCAGAAGCTTGGTCACCTGAAGGCGGCTTTGCGGCAGGCGGGGCTCAACTTGGAAGGGGAGTGGGCGGGCGTCCCGGAGGCGACGACATTGGAGGACCGCCTCGGCGTCGCCCTCTGCTTCATCCGGGCGTTCGAGCGCGGCTTCGCGACCGATGTCTCTTCGTGCCTCCTCCGCTACCCCAAGATCCGGGATCTGGTTGACAATCCCTATGCGTTCGAGGGCAACGTTTCGGTCAAGCTCCAGCGGCTGAGGGATCACGCCATGGAGTTGGCGCGCGACCACGCGCTGGATGAGTTGGGCAAGTCCCATGCCGACCTCACTGGCACCGACGCTTTTACAGCAGCCAAAGCGCGTGCCAAGAATAACAGGCTCATCTTTCGACTCCGGCCAGGACGTGTCTCGGCGGTGGACTGCATCCTCGACGAGCACGGCGAGGCAAGGGCGACGCCGGAGGAGATGGCAGCGACTCTGCGCACGCATTGGGGGAAAGTATTTCAGCGCCGTGGGGTCGACGATGACATGCTGGCTGAGTGGCTCGACCAGGATTCCGACCACCGCCCGCTGGATCAGCTCGGGCCGTTCCCTCCCCGCAGTTTCCGCCTGAAGAAAAAAGCACATCCGAGAGGCCATCCGCAGATCGTCCTGCTCCTCTCCAGGGCCGGACGGACTTTCTTTCTTGGCCTGGAGGCGCATTGAGTCGTTGGCCGTGGAGGTCCTGCACGAGGTCTTCGGCGACATCTGCAGCGAGGGCGGTTTGCGACGGCTCCGCGAATTCGCGGAGGACTTCAACCACAGTGTGTTATTCTTCATCCCGAAGGGCCCGCCCGAGAGATCGGGGTCGGCTGAAATGGGCCACGCGGTGGACAAGGTCAGGCCCCTGAACGTGACCAATACAGACAACAGACTCTTGGCCAACGCAGTGCGCATGGTAGTGGGGGACGCGGTGGCCGCGAGGATTTCCTCCTCTCAGCGGGGGTTCCTCCCCGGGAGGTCCATGCTCTCTAACCTCGTGGACGTGGAGGAGGGCATGGCCGAGCATTACGTGGGCGCCCACGGGTCGATGGCTGTATTCTTCGATTTTGAGGCCGCGTTCCCATCCATCGAGCACGAATTCCTTCTACGGCTTCTTCGCCACTTTGGTTGGCCCGGTTGGCTTCTGCGATTTGCCACGGCCCTTTATCAGGACAATTACTGCGACATCGCACTGCAGGGCTCGAGGTGCCAGGGCTTCGGGCTTGCGCGAGGTGTCCGCCAGGGGTGCCCTTTATCGCCGCTCCTTTTCGCCGTCGCGTCCGACTTGCTCCTCTGCCGCCTTCGCCGGCTCGTCCCAGGGGCGCTGGAGAGGGCGTGCGCGGACGACTTGGTCATCATCGTCGCCCGCGCCCTCGAGAAGTTGCCGACGTTGCACGGCATCTTCGCGGAGTATGCTCGGATTTCTGGATTGAAGCTCAATTTCCAGAAGACTGTGATCGTGCCCCTCTTCGGCTACGACGGGATGGACCTCCGGGCAGAAATCTCCAGGCGAGCGCCGGCATGGGGCGCAATGGCCATCCGGGACAAGGCTAAATACCTCGGCTTCGTCTTGGGCCCGGGTGCTAAGGAGGACTCGTGGAAGGCCCCCTTGGGCCAGATGCTGGATCGCGCGGCCACCTGGGGCAAGATCGGCCCAGGTCTTTATCACACTTGTGCGGCCTACCGCGTGTTCGTGGCCTCGGTGGTCATGTTTGTGGCGCAACTTCGGCCGTTACCTGCCCGCTTCGATGAGGTGGAGCGGAAGGTCTGCGCCAAGCTCTTTCCGGGCCCTCGTGCATGGACGATCCCAGATCTCATGACGCAGCTCCGCCGCATGGGATTTCCGTGCGAGCTGATGGACATACGCTGTGCGACGATTGCGGCTCAAGCTCGTGTATGCCACCTCGAGGCGTTGACGCAGGGCGGGCTGCAGGTGCAAGCGAGAGCCCGCCGACTCCGCCAGCTTCTCCAGAGCGATGGGCGTCAATTCTATTCTGAGGCTGTCGAGGCGTGGCTGGCGAGCAACACATTATTTGTCTTGGAAGCTTCGGCAGACCGCATCGACGGGGAGGAGTTTCGACGTGGCCTACGGCTCACGCACGAGTTCCCGACTGAGGACCGGCCCTCCCTCAAGGCAGGGTGGCAAGCCAGCCGATGCCAATTTTTGCTGGCAGCGCGTCCGCCGACCAAGGTAGAGGCATTTCTTCGGAGGCGGCTTGACCATTGGAGCATTGGCCTTGCGCCGGGCCGCCGGGTGCCGCGCTTCTCCGCGTACATTGCCCTTCTCGGTCAGAGTGCCCCGCCATGCGTCATGGCAGCGGCCTTGCGCACAGCTTGCAATGGCTGGCTCACAGCGGCGCGTTTTCAGCAACGGTCTCATTGTGCGTTCGGCTGCGGGGGCGGTTTCGATTGCATTCGGCATTACGCACATTGTGGCCTGTACCATCGCTGGTGCGAGGAGGCGTGTGCCCTCGAGCCACCGCCTGCGCAGGCGCGCCTGGCAAGTTTCCTCGGTTTGCACGCGCCGATGGGGCTGGAGGCCACGCCCGTGCCGCGTACAAGCGACGAGATGCGCTTGTTGAGAGCTGTTTGTATCTATGCCCTTTACCTGGCACACCTCGCCGTGCGGCACAAAGCCGTATTTCAGTTCGACGCAGGGCATCTTTTCAAGGCCGCCGTGCGCGAGGCTTGCGCCCGAGAGCCTCTCAACGGGCTGCTCGCCAGGTCTCGGCGCAGGCGGCCAGGCGCCTAGGCGCATCGTGCCTCTCCGGCTTCTTCCTCCTCCCACTCCCCTCTGCATGTTGTTCGTTGCTTGGCCGCTGACATAACTATCGTTACCTCTTGGTCTCGCGTCGTGGCTATGTCCACTTCGCTTGGGAGCGTGGCCCTTCAGGCTCCCAGTTCAATATCTGTGGTTCTCCCTTCTCTTCCTCCTCCTCCTCCTCCTCCTCCTCCTCCTCGGTGTCGGTTCCGTGTTGCCTTTTTCTCCACGCTTGCTCTGCCCTGGTCATGTGGGAGCCCAGACTGACAGGCAGTCGGGCGATGACCTCCGATGCAAAGAAATCTGCACTTCTGCCGGTTATCCCGGTCCCCGGACGCGCGCGACGGCTCGCCTATGGCAGGTTGGCTTGCGCGCTGCTCCTGGCCTTTGACAGGTTCTCTCGCCTCTTCTCCTCCTCCTCTTCCTCCTCCTCTTCCTCTTCCTCTTCCCCCCCCCTGAATGTGGTGACGTTTACTCGGCCGGCCCTGGCTCATCGATGGGAGCGGCTATGGCCCCCATGAGGGGAAGCGGATCACCGTACGCACACGACTGTTTAGGTCGTGCTTGTCGCCTTTTGGTTTTTTCTATCCGTGGAGGCGGCGGCAGTTCGAAGTTTCAGGTCCGCAGTTTTCTGCGTTGGCCGCCGCTCGCGTGCTGGTGCCGATAGCCAATGGCCGGGAAAGAGGCCCCTGGAGGGCACGGTGGAAATCTGCAGAGATGACACGCCACGTCACGCACATGTCATATCATCGCGCTGGACGTAAAAAACAAAAAAAAAAAAAGGCTTACGGGTCTCAGGCTTTGGGGAACAAATCTCCCGAGTTTCGGTCGAGTTTTTCACGCCGAGTCTTCGTGATCTTCGGACGGCACGGCTCTCTTACGCCCCTGAGCTTGACCTGGCCGAAGAGAGCACTTGACCTAGGCTCCTGTCGTCGTCGCCGTCGTCGACTTCAGCGTCGGAGGGGGAAGAGGGAGGAGCAGGAAGTCGAGGAGCAGGAGGAGAAGGCGAAGCAGGAGGAGGAAAAGGAGAACCAGGAGGAGGAGGAGGAGGAGGAAGTGGAGGAGGATGGGATGGGGGGGTTAGGAAGACCAGGAGTAGGAGCAGGAGGAGGAGCAGGAGGAGGAGGAGGAGGAGGAGGAGGAGGCCTCAAGGCCTGCGATGGACGGGGCGGTCTCGCCACCAACCGCGGGACCGGGGCTTCCGCCGGCCGGCGGGCGCGACCTGGCGCGCGGCGACGCCCCGCAGCATCACGACGCGGCTCCTCCAGGCCGAGCTGGAGCAGGACCCTGGCCGTTTTTGCAATCAGCCAGCCCATCTTGCATCAGGGTGCTCGTGAGAAGTCGGCAGCTGCTAATAACGAGGAACTGCCAGCTGGTTAGCAGAGGGGTCTTAGGTAGCACGTTCAATGAGAGGTGATGCCCCCACTGGCGCCCGTAAGTGCTTTTATTACAAGCGATCCTGTGGTGTTGGGTCCTCGTGCTGAAGAAGCAGCGCCCCGCTTCTCCTCATCTCCCCTCGCCTCTCCTCATTCCTCCTCCCCCTCCTTCCCCCTCTCACCCTTGCCTCTGCCCTCCGCATTTTCATTCCGGCACACTCCTCACACGTTCGTGGCCCAATAGGGAGCTTCACCATAGGCCCAAGATCAGCGCTCACATGGCACCACCGCGCTCATTTCGGCACACTCCTCGCACGCCTCGTGGTCCAATAGGGAGCTCCACCGAAGGCCCAACTGCCAGCGCTCGTAAGGCACACCGCACACATTTCGGCACACCCCACACACGTTCCGTGGCCCCATATAGGAGCTCCACGGAAGGCCCAAACACCAGCGCTCACATGGCACCCCTGCGCCCATGTCGGCACACCCCTGGCGAGGATCGTGGCCCCATAGCGAGCTCCACCGAAGGCCCGAAGGCCAGCGCTCGCATGGCACCACCGCACCCGTGTCGGCACACCCTCACACGCTCCGTGGCCCCATGGGGAGCTCCACCAAGGGCCCCAGTGGCTGCGCTCGCATGATCCCTCCACCCCCGCGGCCATTTCGGCACCCATGACGATGATCGCGGCCCAGTGGGGAGCTCCACCGATGGCCCCAGTGGCTGCGCACGCATGGTACCACCGCACCCATTTCGGCACACCCCTCACAAAGACCGTGGCCCCATAGGGAGCTCCACAGAGGGCCCCAGTGGCCGTGCCCATTTCGGCACACCCCTCACACGTTTCGCGGCCCCATAGAGAGCTCCACCGAATGCCCAAAGCCAGAGCTCGCATAGCAACACCGCACCCATTCCGGCGCTCCCCTCACACGAATCGTGACTTCACACGGAGCTCCACCGAGGGCCCGATTGCCAGCGGTCGCATGGCACTAGCTGGCCCGTTTCGGCATATCCCTCTCACGTTTCGGGGCTCAGAGTGAGCTCCACCGAGGGCCCCAGTGGCTGCGCCCGCATGGCACCACCGCACCCAGTTCGGCACACCTCTCACACGTTTCGTGGCTCCATAAGGAGGTCCACCGAAAGCTCCCCTGGCTGCGCTCGCATGGCACCACCGCACCCATTTCGGCACACCTCTCACGAATATCGTGACCCAATAGGGAGCTCCACCGAGGGCCCGAATGCCAGCGCTCGCATGGCACCACCGCGCCCATCTCGGCCTACTCCTCATCTGTTTTTTGGCTCCAGAGGGACTCCACCGAGGGCTCCAGTGGCTGCGCTCGCATGGCACCACCGCACCCATTTCGGCACACCCCTCACACGCTTCGTAGCGCCATAGGGAGCAGCGCTCGCATGGCATCACCGCACTCATTTCGGCACACCACTGACGAGGGTCGTGGTCTCATAAGGAGCTCGACCGAAGGCCCAACTTGCCAGCGCTTGCATGGCACCACCATGCCCACCATGTCGGCACACCCCTCACACGCTTCGTGGCCCCATAGGGAGCTCCACCGAGGGCCCCAGTGGCTGCCATTTCTGCATACCCCTCAACACCCGCGCCCATTTCGGCACCCCTGACGAGGATCGGGGCCCAGTGGGGAGCTCCACCGAGGGCCTCAGTGGCTGCGTTCGCATGGCACCACCGCGCCCATTTCGGCACACCCTCACACGTTTCATGGCCCTTGGCCGCGGCGTCGCGGCTGGCCGAGACAGCACTGGACGTCAGAAGTATACGAAGTCTGCCTGCATATCTGAGCCACCTTCTGCTCGTCCCCCATGTTTTCCAACGCGAATTCTGTGTTGCACTGTGAGTTGTTCATATTCATATGTTCCCTTCCTCCGACCCTGAGCGGTTGCCGTGCCAAAGCATCCTGTTGGATGTACGGCTTGTGTGGTGATGGATAGAGAGCTCCACCGAGGGCCGCAGTGGCTGCGCTCGCATGGCACCGCCGCAACCACTTCGGCACACCCCTCACACGTTTTGGCGGCTGCTTTTGGCGAATGGCCAGGATCCCCACCCCCAGTCTGCTTGCGCGGATGCTAAGATCAGATCGAGTAAGCACCGGCCCAGACTCAGACCCTCATCTCCCACCCTTCGATCAAATGTCGAAGCAAAGTATACAGGAACGTTTTCCTTCCGCCGTCGTCAATTGGCAACGTCAGGGGATCGGCCCCTCGAAGTTCGGAGCGCAAGGTGTTCGGACGTGGTCGTCGGTTCCCTTGCCTGGGGCGTTTTGTGGGCTCCAGCATCGTCCCGAACGGCCGCAGGAGGCCAGAGCCATCGCCCGAGGACCACCAGGGGCGACGTGACGGGGAGATGATTCACCTCGGGGGGGACTCGGGCCGTACGAGAAGGGGGGGGATTGGGACAGGGGGGCCTACGAAATCTGCTGCATGCAGCCGGTTCCGGCCTCACCGAGGGGCCCATTCCTCGATACGTGTGGGCGCCTCCCGGGAACATCAGCGACGTGAGCTGATTCTCCCCCCCCTGCGCTGCCCCCCCCCCTGGTCGCCCGACCCGAGGGACGCATCGAGCCCCACTCGCGCACCGATCGGCGACGGGGGCCCGATGGCCCACTCCGCCCAGGAGCGTGCGGTGTCGCTGTCGGGGGCCCAGCTCGGAATCCCGCAAAATGGGTGTGTGCCCCCCGCTTGGCATCGCTCGGACGTGTGCATTTTTCTTTTGGCGAGGACAATCGAGGAGCCTCCTTGATCATTTGGCGCAAAAGCCACACACGAAACCGGAAAAAGCACAGGGAATGGACGTCCAAGCGATGGCGAGCCCGGGGTGCGTGTGAGCTCGATCGGTCTTTGCAACGAACCGCCCAGAGCAGAAGCCTCCCAGCCGCCAGCAGCTCCCGATGGCTGCCACTGGGTGGGGCATGCGGGGAGCATCCGCGTGCGGCAGTTCGGTGCGCCAGCGGATCGAACTCATGCCCCCCTTCAGGGACACCCCCCTTTGGTGGATCCCGACCATCGCCAACCTTCCCAAGGGTACTTTTGCATCCTTCCCTCCTCGGACCATCCTTGGCCACTTTCGTTGGCCGCGCCCCGCTCGAAAAACTTCGACATGGCCTTCCAGGGCCCTTGCGTCCTTATCACGCGTCGTCATGCTACGGGTCCACCGCAGTTGCCTTGGGGAGTGGTGGAACGCGCTCGTCTACTGGTGCTTCCCCCCGGAGCTGGTCCGCCCCCTGGGGTCCCTTTGGAGTCCCGAAACGGTGCGGTGACGGACCGTGCGGTGACCTTGAAATCCCACAAGACCTTACCGCACGGTCCGTCACCGCACGGTTTTGGGACTTTGGAGGCCCCTGTCGCCCGAGGCGTCCTCGGAGAACGACCCGAGCCCCAAAGCCGTGCGGTACCTCCGAATCCCCACCGACTCACCGCACGGTGTGGTCACCGCACCGTTTGGGGGCCCCCGAGGGTCAGGAGGGAAAAAACACACACAGACACAATTAATCATCGATTCCCTAGAAAATGTGGGAAAGTATGGGAAGTGGGGGGAAGACAGAAACCCACAAAATATGGGAGAATACAGGGAATCCTTTTATTTTTGTGTATTCATTTGTGTGTCCCAGGGCCCCTTCAGAGGGTTCCCCCCCCTGGGATCGAGCTCCTGCCCCCCTCCGAGGGTCGCCCCCCCTTTGCTGGGGGATCCCGGCCCTCGCCAGTCCGTCGGCGACGCCTCGCCGACTCCCGCTCGACGCCTCGGCTGGAGCCGGTCCCCCCCCCTCTCTCTGGCGTCAGGGGCAACGACGGGGGGGGGGGGGGAATGTCACCAGCCTCGAACCTATCCCTATCCCTAAGATAAACACGCTAAAAGGAGATGGCAATCTTAGGGATACACCCTCAGAAACTGAGGAAATCCCTAAGATCGCAATCGTGATGAGGCGATGCCCAACATAGGGATAGGGATATGTTCCAGGCTGGTAAGAATGGGCATAAGGGGGGGGGGATGCATCGACCCCCAGTCGCCCCTTGATCGCCGCGAGGGGCCCGAGGGCCCAGCCTGCCCAGGAAGGCGCGGGATCTATCGTCGGGGACGCCGCGGGAGTGCATCGGCGTTCCCTCGGGGGCCCCTCGGACCGATATGTCCGTCGGGGGCCCATCGCCGATCCATCGGGGTCGTGTCGCCGATCCCAGGCCGATGCATGATCCCCGTGTGCCAGTCCCCCCCCCTCTACCGTTGCCCCCCCCCCCCCCCGCGGCGTCCCCGCTCCAGCGCGGCCTCTTCGGGGGGGGCCGGGGGGCGGGCCTCTGGCCCAGGCGCGCAGGCCGCGGCTGCCGGCAGCCGCAGGCAGCGCTCCGCAAGTCGGGCCGCAGCTCGGCAGGAAAATTCCCCACTCCTCCTCCCTCCTCCTCCTCCTCCTCCTCCTCCTCCTCCTCCTCCTCCTCCTTCTCCTCCTCCTCCTCCTCCTCCTCCTCCTCCTCCTCCTCCTCCTCCTCCCCACGTCGGGCCGCTGAAATCAGGAAGGATTTGGGTTCGGAAGGGGCTCGATGTTCCTCGGGCTCCCTCATTGCTCTGCCTCCTGCCCTCCTCGGGAGCGGGGGCGCTCTTGGGGCCCAGAAGGGGCCTCGCTCCTGATTGAGCGCTCCTTCTTTCAGCAGTCCGGCTGTACCCAGGAGCAGCCGGAGGCTAGCCCGGGCACGATGCTCCGTGGCCGCGGTTCGATGCCTCCCGAGTTTCGCGGGCTGTGCTCCCTGTTCTTGCCAGATTCCGCCTGCGGGGGCACGTGCCCGACCCGAGGCAGCGATCGGCACGCCCGCGCGGCAGAGGTCACTCGTGTCCATGGTCAAAGTCGGGCCTGTCCATCTACAGGAGGAGCATGCAAAAATAGTAAAACCATAGTCTAGGGACGATTTGTTTAAATACCATGTTCGAGTATGTTGGGGGCATTTGTTTGCCTATGTTTCAGTTTTCTTCCAAAATCCCCCTGCAGGGGGACAGGCCCGAATTAAGCCCAGGGGCTGCTCCTCGCGAGGAGTTACCGGGGAACAAGCAGCGACGCAGCCACAGGAACTCGAGGGTCCGTGCGGACTGCTCGGCTTGGCGCCGGACCCCCCTCCGTGGCCGTGGCATCGCTCGGACGTGTGCATTTTTCCTTCGGCGAGGACCATCGAGGAGCATCCTTGATCATTTGGCGAAGAAGCCACGCGCGAAACCGAAAAAACGCACAGGGAATGGACGCCCGAGCGATGGCCAGTGGCGCGCGGAGCGCGCCAGGGGCGGCGCCGGAGGCGCCGCCACGGGGGCCGAGCGCCGATCCGAGGGATCCGCGCGGACCTCCGAGCTTATGTGCACGTCATTGGCTGTTGACGAGACGTGCGCAACCACGGACGCGCGACCATCGGCGCCAGTCTCGCCCGCTCCTCTGCGGCAGCTGCCCCCCATCGCCCTCCTGCTCGGCCAGCTGCCTGTGCACCAGTGCAGGGATGAGCAGTGCCCCGAGGTTCTCGCACCCCCTCCCCCCTTCGGCCCATCCTCGGCCACATTCTGCTGGCCACGCCACGCTCGAGGAATGGCGACACGGCCTTCCCAGGCCCTTTTGCATCCTCGTCGTGCATTCCTCTCCTACGCGCTGGCTGCACCGTTGCCCGTCGGAGGGTCCAGCGGAAGCCGCTCCGCTCTCCGAGGCCTCTCTGACGCATCGCGGAAGCCTCTCAGAGCTCTTCTGGAAGCCACTCGCTAATCCTTGCAGACGCTGGGGAATAGCTTGTTTCAACCGGGGGGGGCATCACCCGAAAAACTGGGGGATGTCCCAACGACCTGGTGCATGCAATTCCATCGGGCGGGAGGGAGGGGGGGCGGGTAGCGTCTCGATCTGCGACGGTCGGGAGCCTCGAGAACGCGGTCGATGCAAACTGAGGTCAGCAACGGCGCCGGGCCTTGCAGGATCCTGCGGAGCCAGAGGCGCACTGGCCCGGATCATCCTGCAGGATCTCGCAGGATCTTGCGAAGCTAGACTGACCCGGGCTTGCACTGCTGAGACAGGACGGCACTAGCCCGAGACGGCGCCGTTTGGTAGCCAGCAATGTGTAGACATCCCCAGACGGAGACGGATCGCGGCGTGACGTCAGTGGAGGAGGTGGGACGGCCCCGGTAGGGGCCGCCTCTCTCTCTCTCTCTCTTGAGGAATACATAAGCTGCCCCCTTCATCCCTGCTGGCTCCTCTTCCCCAGATGGGGGCAGGTAGGGGGCCACATGCGAACCCTACCCCTGCCCCCCACGATTTCTGAGGGGGAGGGTGGGGTTCACTGCGCTCGGGAGCTCCCAGGCGAAGTGAACCCCACCCCACCCCCTCAGAAATCGTGGGGGGCAGGGGTAGGGTTCGCATGCGGTCTCCTATAGCAGGGGACCCGATGGGCGCGGGTTCCATGGGGGCGCGGGACGGCCGGGCCCTGCTCGCGAGCGGTCGCCCCCAACCGGGCCGGCGGACTGGTATATACGCGCCTCCCACGCTCGTGGCCGCGCCTTGGTGAGGAGGAGCCGCGCGGCGCCGTGCTGTGCGCCGGGCCTCGTCGTGGCTCTCGCCGCTTCTGCGCCCTGCGCTGCCTCGGGCCCGCTTTTTCCAGGCGAGGGCAAGCATGGATCCGTGGGGCCCTTCAAGGGCTGTTCCTCTCCTCTCCTCTCCTCTCCTCTCCTCTCCTCTCCTCTGCTCTGCTCTCCTCTCCTCTCCTCTCCTCCGCCTCCGCCTCCGCCTCCTCCTCATCTTCCTCCTCCTCCCTCCTCCTCCTCCTCCTCTCCTCCTCTCTCCTCCTCCTCCTCCTCCTCCTCCTCCTCCTCCCCGTCCTCCTCCCTCCTCCTCCTCCCTCCTCCTCCTCCTCCCCCTCCTCATCCCTCCTCCTCCCCCTCCCCCTCCGCCACCTCCTCCTCCGCCTCCTCCTCTGGTCGCCTACGGCCCCGGGGGAAACCGTGCAGAGGGGGGATCGAGGCCAGGGGCCCCACGTCTCTATAGACCCTAGGCTTCCTGGATGGGGTCCGAGTAGATGGGGTCGGAGGATCGCGCCGCATCGCCGACGCATCAGCGATGCGGCTCGATGTGGAGCCCGATTTGCGTCACGTCGGCGTCGCCGATGCATCGCCCACGTCGACGATGCATCGCCGATGCATCGCCGATGCGGCGCGATCCTCCGACCCCGTCTACTCGGGTCCCATCTAGGAGGCCTCTAGGAAGCCCGCCGCCCGCAGGAGATGGTGAGGCGGATCGAGGCCGAGGATCGCGGCGGCCCGAGCACCCTCGGGCGGGGTGCCGAGCTTCCCGTCGTCAGGCATAATTCGGGGCTATCGAAGTGTGTACGGCAACAGTGGGTACAACGTCCAGCAGCAGTTCTTGTTCAACCTGAGCAGGGTTCGGTGTTGGCGTCGCCGCGGCCGTTGTCCATTTGAGGCAGAAGGCCGCCTGCCCAACAGCGGCCGCTGTCGGTTTAGGGCAACATTTGTTGTTGGGCCTCGTGTCAATGTTCTTCGTTCCCAGCCCTTGCGTCCAGAAAAATGCAACCCATGACCCTCATACCACACTGCGTTCGTGGCCTAACTCAGGTCCTCGGTCTGCAGGATTGTCCTGAAGTCGGGTATGTCCCTCTACAGGAGGAATATTCAAGAATAGTAAAACACTTGTATTGTGAAGATGTTTTGTGTTTAAGTCTTGTGTTTGACATGCCCAAAATCTGTCTTCCAAAACCCGCATGCAGGAGGACATGCCCGAGCGAGCGTTAGGCATATGTAATTGATGCAGACCCTGACCCTGACACCACAATGGGTTCGTGGCCTCGCTTTGGTCTTCGTGTTTCAGCTTCTCTCTGAAACCGTGTGCGCGGTTTCGTTTGGGACGTGCAAAACAAGCATGTCCCTGATGTCTCTTGCCTCCCTAATCTGGGTCCCCTCCCAAAAGGTTTCGGGGTATGTAGCACCCCGCAGTTGCGGATCAGTGCGAATGGGCGGGCGCGGGCTGGGTCGCGGGTGGGTTGCGGGTGGGTCGCGGCTGGGTCGCGGGCGGGTCGCAGGCGGGTGGCGGCTGGGTCGCGTTTGGGTCGCGGGCTTTGTTCGCGGCTTGGACGAATTCGACAACAACAAACAATCAGCAAACAACAAGTAACACCAACAATAAACAACAACAACTACTACTACGACTACTACTACTACTACTACTATTACTACTACTACTACTACTACTACTACTACTGCTTCTACTGGTACTACTACTACCACTACTAGTAGTGATACTACTACGGCTACTACTACTACTACTACTACTACTACTACTACTACTACTGTTACTACTACTACTCTTACTACTCTTACTACTCTTACTACTACTACTACTACTACTACTACTGCTGCTGCTGCTACTACTACTACTACTACTTTGACGACTACTACTACTACTACTACTACTACGACTACTACGACTACTACTAGTAGTACTTCTACTACTACTACTTTTACTACTACTACTACTACTACTACTACTACTACTGCTGCTGCTACTACTACTACTACTACTCTTACTACTACGACTACTACTACTACTACTACTACTGCTACTACTACTACTACTACTACTACTACTACTATTTCTACTACCACTACTACTTCTACTACTACTACTACTACTACTGGTTTTGCTGCTGCTTCTGTTACTACTTCTAATCCTGTGGCGACTACTACTAGTCCGACTACTATCACTACCTTTTTTTTACTGCTTCTGTCACTACTACTACTACTACTACTACTACTACTACTACTACGGCGAGATCCACTACTACTCTTACTACTAGTACTGTACTAGTACTACTACTACTACTACTACTACTACTACTACTACTGCTACTGCTACTACTACTACTACTCTTACTACTACTACTACATTTTCTTCTTCTACTACTACTACTACTACGACGACTACGACTACTACTCTTACTTTTCACTACTACTACGACTGCCACTACTACTACTACTACTGCTACTACTACTACTACTACTGCTACTACTACTACTGCTACTACTACTACTACTACTACCACTACCACCACTACCACTACTACTACTACTACTACTACTACTACTACTTCTACTACTACTACTACTGCTATCACTACTACTACTACTACTACTACTACTACTACTACTACTACTAGTACTACTACTACTGCTACTACTATTACTACAGGCAACTAGCAACAACCAGCAATCATCAAACACCAAACATCAGCACCAACCACACCAACAACAACCACAGTCATGTTCGACGATTCGTCTTCTCGCGCTTTATCCAACACGTATCTCACAATCCCTCGGTATCCGCGCGCGCGTCGTTCCGGTAAAACAGGGGAAGGAGGGGAGGAATGAGGAGACAAGGGGGAGAGAGAAGGATGGAGCACGAGAGAATGTTGCAGTTGGCGAGTTAGGAACAGGAGCACACGCGGCGGAACAGGAGCACACACGGGTTAGGAGCAGTTGGCGTGTCGGGCGGGCGGGCCCCAGCGTGCAGGTCGGGCCGGCGGGCGGGCCCAGACGGCCAGGTCGAACGGGCGTGTCGGTAAAGCGTCAGCCCAACGTGTAGGAAGTTAGCACATCGCTCGGGCCGCCAAAGCGAGAGCGCGATCTGTGCGTATTGGGGGCACGGCGCCGCAAAACACTGACAAAATGAGGCGCGAGCGCGCGATCCTTGCATACATTGTGAGGAGGTCCCGCGCGAGAGTTCCGATTCGAAATACATTGTGAAGAAGTATCCGGCGGGAGCCGTTGTTGTGGTGAACCGGGGGCCAAGAGCGCAGTTTGGTGACACCTGCCCCCTCATAAAAATGGGTGCGAGCTCCGGGAGGAGCACTTGAAGTGAACAATATTATGGTCACCGGTGGGGATGAGCATTGATTATTCTTTAAAAGTGAGCATGCAACAAGTACAGCAGCAACACTAATTTTAAGACTGGCCGCTCTCATCTGCTCGTGTGCGATTCAACACGTAGATTCGGGACCCTCGGTACCCGTCCTCTTCGTTTTTGATCGACCCCCTTGAGGGTAGATCCTCCGAACCTTCGCGCTTCATCGGTGCAGCCCCTGAAACAGGGGAGGAGACAACGGCTGGAAGGGGGAAGGGGAAGGATGGAGCACGGGATTGGCAGGATGGGGGGTCAGGAGCAGACACACACGTGGCAGAACCAGACGGGCCCATCGGGCGGGTAGACCCGAACAGGCGGGTCGGAGAGGCGAGCCCAAGCGGCCAGGTCTACACGGCATGTTGCTGTAGCGTGAGTATTGCATGAATCGTGCAGAGAAATCGAGTGAGAGTGCGATTTTAAAGTAAATCGTGAGAAAGGCCAGGGCGAGAGCGTGATTCCTGAATGGCGAGGGTGCGGCGTCTCAATAGATCTGTGAGGGCGTCCCACGCGGGAGGGCGATTCCTGCAACATTTGTGAGGAAGCCTCGCGAGAGAGCACGATTTCGGAATAATTTGTGAGGAAGTATGAGGCAGGAGCCGCTGTTGCTCTAGTTCGGGGTCCAACGACGCAGCTTGCTGACACCAAGCTTCTTTGTTTAGAATAAGGTACGAGCTCCGACGGGGGGGACTTCAATTGAAACATCGAATAGTTACCAAAGTGGATCAACGATACTTATTATTTAGAAGTGAAAACTCAAGCACAACAGCAACAACAATCAGTTCAATTTGCTCGCTGTTATTCACTTGCGTGCCACTCGGTACGTATATTCGAAAACCTCGGTGCCCGCCTTCTTCGTCTTCGATCATTTCCCCTTGGGGCATATCATCCCTACCTGCCGCGTGAAAGTGGCGCGACTCTGACAACAGGGGAAGAGAGGATGCTGGAAAGGGGGAGGGAGAAGATGAAACACTACAGAAATTAACAAAAGGGGGGTCGGGAGCAGAAAGCACGCGGCAGAGCCTGATTGGAAAACCGGGCGGGCATACCCTAGCGGGCGGGCCGGGAAGGGCTGCAAGCGGCCATGTCGAGTTGGCGGATTTCTGAAGCGAGAGTCCCGCATGAGTCGCGAGGAACTTTTGAGCAATAGCACGCTTCCCAAGCAACGCGGGAGCAAGGCCAACGCGAGAACGTGGTTCTTGAGTGTCGAGGGGCGGCGTCTGAATAAATTCAGACGGGAGCCGCTGTTGTAGTAAACAAGTGGTCAGGGGCACATTTTGAGCAGGAAGGCTTTCATGGATGAAAAACAAGGTGCGAGCCACTAGGGTGTACTTCAATTGAAAACGACAGCGGTGACTGGGGAAGGGAATTGGCACTATTTGTTTCCCAACAACCACGCCAACAACACTAACAATACAAACAACAACAACACCAACAACAACAACAACAACAATGACGACGACGACAACAACAGCAACACCACCAACAACAACAACAACAGCAACAACAACAATAATAAGTTTAAGACTGTTCGCCCTTATATGCTCGAGTGTCCAATAACGCGTATTTCCCAAACCCTCGATCTTCGCCCTTTTCGTCTTCGATCGAACTCTATTTGGGGGGTATACCTTTCTTCCCTGCAGGCCGGGCCCCGGCAAGCGGCGGGGTGGCCGCCGACCGTCGGCCTGGCCAGCGGCAGAGCTGATCGGCGGGGCGGCCGCGGACCGTCGACCCGACCCCAAGAGGGATGGACGGGGGACCGACTACGACGACGACGACGACGACTACGACGACGACGACGTCGAAGACGACGGCGACGACGACGACTACGGCGACGACGAGCGAAAACGAGAGCGAGAGAGAACGACAACAGGGCCACGAAGGGCACGAAATAGGCCACGAAGGGCGACAGCGGGGACACGAAGGGAATGCGTATGGGGCCACGAAGAGCGCGAACGAGCGGGGGTCACGAAGTGCAGATAATGCGGGGCCACAGAAGGCAACGATGGGGCCACTGAGGGTAACAACTGGGCCACGTAGGACAGTGATGGGGGACACAAGTGGCGACAGCGGGGCCACGAAGGGCATGCACATGGGGCCACAACGGACGCGACTCTTGGGTGCATGGGTGTCGGGAGCGCGGCGCTTGGGCAAATTGCAGGAAATTCCAACGCAAGGCCATTATTCAGTAAGTTGCAAGCAAGTCTCCAGCGAGAGCGCGACTCCAATGCGCCCGGAGAGCGATCCCTGAATAAATTGTAAGGAAGTGCCAAGCGAGAGCGCGATTCCTGAATCAAATGCGAGGAAGTCTCGGGCGGGAGCGGGGGTCCTGGCTAAA